TTGCTCATGTGTTTACATGGAACACAGTTCATGTGGAAAGGGATGTGATTTTATCAAAGTACAAATTGCATGGTTGGCGACTAATTTTACATAGGATTAGCAGGGTTGTATTTATTGCCCTTCTGTCTTTGTATAGGTTTCACTAACTGTGCTCAGACCAAATTCTGAATTTCTGCTTAGAGAAAATTGATGGCAGCAGTCCAACTTTTATATCATATTGTGTATTAATAAGTTATCTGTGTGCATGATGAAATAAAATTTTATAAATAAACACCTTTTAACTTTAGCTTTACAAGAGATGTGGTGATTTTGCTTTTTTGTTAGGATATATCACTTGTCACGTAACTACTGTGTTTAGTAGAACATACAAATGTAGAAAAATTTTATGGTTACAGATAATTAACACTAGCCTTTCTAGTGAAAACCTTCCTGGTTTTCAAGGTAAAAAGGTACTGAATCAAGCAATACTCTTGCTAATATAACAAACAAATATAATATAGTTCAAAGGGAAAAGCACCAGAAAAAAACCCCAGTTTCTCAAGACCGGCTTGAAATTTTTCTGGATACATGCACAAAAATGCACATACAGTTCTTACATACTTATATACTTGAAACTCATTTTTTCAGCTTTTATAGACCTTATCCAAGATGCATAGTAATAAAGGCTGAGTTAATTTTAAGTTACTCTGTTGATGGAAGAGCTCCTTTAAACCTTGTAGAAAGTCTTTAAAAATAATAAAAACACATTGTTCTTCAGACAGGGTGTTTTATAGTTTAGGATAAGCCTAGGCTGAGTAATAACCTGAAGCAGGTATTCTGTATTTTTCTCCAATTCCTATATAGATTGTTCTTTTGTTAGAGAGGATGAAACCTTTTTGTTCCTCTGTGCATCAGCAATGCTCAAATCAGCTCATGAGTCCTTTTTTAAAGCTAGGCAGAGGTTATCTTGTTTTGATTAATAAAAGCAATGCTTGCTATTTAAAAGATTATCTGCTTCAGCTGTTTATCAACAGGATAAGCAAAGCTATCAATTTCAGCTTTAGACAACTTGCAGATTAATAGTCAGGGCACTCATTTTCTTGTAGTAGTTTTAGCATTAACTTGATGTGGTAGAGCACAAAGAACAGTATCATTTACTGCAGCGGCAGCTAATTTTAGTGAGAACTGTGTCCTTCCCTACCTGTAAAAAACCTACTGTGATTTTAGCCTGAAAGCAGTTCCATTCTGCAAGTTAATCTTTCTTTGAAGCACAGAAAGATACTATCTGTTTCCTGAAGGACATAAACTGACAACACAAAGCTGGAGGACTTGTGTATGAGACTGGATAGAGAGATTTATAGCAGAAACAGAGAAGTGCAAATCAGTTCCTGGAGTGAAAAATGGCAAAAGTCTTAGGCATATAAAAAAAAAAAAAAAAGACAAAAAGACAGTCCAGGAAAAAGGATAGTTTAGTAGGTGCAAACAGACAGACTTTTGTGCAGAGCATAAATCATGGGGGGTGGTGAAACTGAGAATCAGGATCCTGGATTTTCTGTGATAAAACACAGAAGATTGGAATGAGAAAAGATAAAAAATCTGAATCTGGAGAGGTAAATTATGCCAACAACCAAGACTTGCAAAGATGTGAATTATGGAAGAAATAAATAATTATAGGTGTAGAAACAGTCAACAGAAATAAGTTATATTTCTACTTCTTCAGTATTTATAGCCATACTTTAGCCATGAGCTCTGAGGCTTCAGATTTCTGTTTGTTCTGTGTGCCTGTCGTTGGATATCAGCTGCAGCAGCCTGTTGCATGGACTCTTACATTACAGAGAGAATTTACATAAAGTTCTTCCAGCTTAATGAAGAATTGAGAAATGCTGGTTTGAAATTCTGTGTTTTGAATCAGAAAGTGTTTTATCTATTTTCTGTCTTGTTCCAAATCCAGCAACACAAGTGGCTGATTTTGAATCCTCTTAGCTTAGCTTCTATGGAAAGATTTTCTTTTTGACAGCTTCATTTTTCCAGAAGAGTGAAGCTGGTTTGTGAAGCCTTCATTACGGAAGATGATGGTTTCATTAAAGGTAGTTTCATTAAAGGCTTTCAAAATCATGCATTAGCTTTCTGCTGGACTTGATCAATGGGCAGTCAGTCTAGTGAAATCAAATTCTAATGAGATATTCCTAGTAGTTTCTGGCAGTATGGAGACATGCTTTGGAGCCAGCCTCCTAACTCTGGTCACTTCAGTGTGTTGAGCCTTGCTCTTAGATGAGAGTGGACCCCAAAGGGTAATTACACTTGCAATGTACAAAGGATCATGATCAACCTATTACAAATTCAGTGTCAACCTTTGCCAGATTTAGAGGTCTCTGAGCAAAGCTCTGAGACTGTGGAAAGTGGGAATGTGGATGGGGTTTGTAGTTGGTATTGCAATGGAGAAGGTGAATTATTAAGAATGCACCTCTAAATCTCGTCAGCGAGCAGTGCTTCAGGGAACAGCACATCTTCACTCACGTGTTACCTCTGTTCCATCAGTCACTCCTTGAATAGGCACTCCTTATAGAGTTATACCTTCCTTTCCTGCAATATTGATAAAGTGTTTTTAACTGTAGTTACCAAATAAGGTTGAATTTGCAAAGCACTGGTATTGATCTGGCATTGCATTGTCCATGGTACTTGCTGGCTGTCTCCTGTGATACATGTTCAGCTGCAGCCAAGCCATGATCTGAGCTGTCTGGTCCAACTGTCCATTCCTGACCTCAGTGCCTGCTCCAGAGATCGGATGCCACTGACAGCTACAGCTTTTTACCAACTGGGACGTGTTAGTTGCCTTCTGGAAGTGCATTTTCTAGTGCAGTTTCATCTGAAAAGGGTCCACTTCATTTGCTCTGAGACTAAACTAAAGCACAGTAAGGGAGGATGTTTGGGAGATTCACTTCAGAAGTGCATTTGTGCTCTAAAATAAATTCACAACATAAACACAACCAATATACCCTCTGTTTCAGCGGTGAGACACAGGAGAGGCTGGTACAGGCTGTACTTTCTCTGCCTTGAGTGAGAAGAGGTGTCATGCATGGGGAGTCAGTGAGGCACTGTGACTTCTGGGAACAAATGGGTGGTAGTGAATATTTGTGTCATGCCTTCCTTATCCTCCTCTTTCCGAGATAATGCAGGTTGTGACAGTGACAGTTCAGTCCATATATGTAAAGCACTGCGTAAATACATAATCCATCTAATATAAAAGGAACATTATATTTTGTATTGGTTTTATTTTGACGTAAGCTTATGTTCTGTTGTCAAGAATAGTGCATGTGAGCTTTAAGAGCTTTTTATTACGAAACATTTCAGAATTGTTCTGTGTAGATTGAAGTAGGAAACAAAATTGGAGTCTCTTGTAGAATTGAAGGAAACAAGACGGAAAGGAAGCCTGGAAACTCACTGCACTTCACCTGCTGCCCAAACCAGCAATGACATGTCAATGTGGTGTTCTTAACTTTTTCTCCCTGATCTTTCTTGCAGGCATTTCAATGACAGAGATTTCTCGATATTCACGGATATTGTACAGCACTTCTTAGCCATCGCTGAAGTTGCACATGTTCCCCACTATATAACCAAGACACTGCTCGTTGCAAATTAAGTCCACTAGTTTTTTTGCTTGCTAGTCTAGACACAGAAAAAAATTTGTCTTTGCTCTTTCAGAAGCCTCTTCTTTATTTGAACATTTCTCAATAGGTTCTATAAACCCAAAGACTTTATTTAGGGCTACTATAATTTATCTTTTGACTTCTAACAGAATATATTAAGAAAAGGCAATTTTCTATTTCTGTAACTTCCCACTGATTAATAATGCTTTGCATAAAATGAATGTAATGGGGGAACCTCATGTAGCATATTTTGTGTTTATTTATAAGGGATTGAATTGTAATCAGACATTATGAACTTGGGTTTTTTAGAGAAAAGAAAGGATATTTGCTCCCTCCATGAAATGAGAGTTTATGTATATATATTTTTAAAAAATTAGGTAAAAGATAGATCTAGAGTATACCTCTCTTATGTGTGAAAAAAATTTCTGAAGATATTTTGTGAAGCAATGCAAAAAAATAAACTCCTTTTTCTGAGAATGAGGAATAGTACATACTTTACTGTACTATTTAATTTAGAGTACCATGACAATTTCTTGAAAAATTGTTCAAAGAACCCATTCTAAACTTATCTAGTAAGAAGACTCATACTCACGGTTTTGGAATCATTGTGTTGATGTTTCATGCTTCCCACATAATCTTACAAAGTTTGACTTCTTCCTTCTTAGGAAAAGTTTTATTTTTCAAGAGATATCACTGCAAGGATATTATAAAACTACCATGAATGTTTTGTATTGATGGATAAAATATGCATGCTCCCAGATAGATGCCTTTTCCGAGAGGAATGAAAAATGTTTTGTAACTTTGGCATTTGGTTTTACAGTTTTTTATCTTATAGCAAGTGGGATGTGAAGAAAAATACTGAACCACACGGGTTTTAAGTGATCATTATACATTATTTTTTGTGGCAGTGGAGTCTCAGTGCCCCAATCAAGGCCTCAAGCTGCTTTACACCGTCACTCTAATATGGAGGCAAAACAGAGGCACACTCTGCCCAGGTGACCCTTTTATCTGAGGTTCTGACAAGGCCACAGGTGCCTGAAGCGGGTGTTTGGATATGTTGGGAAGTATGTTTTGGCAGGTGGTTTAACAATCGCACAAGCCCTAGTTGCCAGCTATCTAGCTGATACCAGATATAGAGATAGGCATTATCTCTAATGCCTATAAAAGCACATAATGCTTTGGCATCTCTAATGCCAAATAAAAGAACATATTAGGTTTTTTAAATATAAAGAAAGTAGTTAGGATATAGTGTATTGCTGAGTAAATGAATGAGCAGTTTAACGAAACCAAAATAACAACTTGTCTTGTGTTTGCACGGCACAGTCCAAGAGTTAAAGGCAAAACCTAATAATTTTTTTATTTATTTTGTTTTAGAACGTCAAGCATGTACATCTATGGCTGGCTCCAGCATCCTTCTCTCCAACGTGGCTGGGATCAGCAAAGAGCTGATCGAACTCCAGCACCTCATCCAGTTCCCAGAGGAGGTTGCCAGCATTCTGACCGAGCAGGAGCAGGAGCTCTACCGGAAAGTCTTACCCATTGACTACCTCTGCTTTTTAACCAGGGATTTGGGTAATGCTGAATGTCAAAGCAAGCTGCCATCTCTTAAGGCTTCCATATCTGCTACTATTCTTTCTTCTCCCAATGGTGAACATAATGCTGTAGAAGATCTTGTGACAAGGTTTAATGAGGTAAGGGTTATTACCTGTTATGTGGTTAGTTATTTCCTTTATCTCTCAGAGCTGAATTTAGCAGTAGTGACAGATTTTTAAAATGTAAGTTAAGATGACCAGGGATTTAGCTAAATAACTTGCACTGAATTGAATAGGAGTTATGTGACCAGTTTACTCAGTGAGTTTGGAAAACAGCAGCCCAACCTTTTCTTGCACATTGTAAAATAAACATGAAGAAAAAATTACAGACTTCTACTTCTTTGTATTTATACTGACAGTATGGGGTACAGTTTCAGTCAGTTTATTATTTTGTTTAGGAGCTGGAGTTCTATTTATTTGTTTTGGATTTTTGTAGACTAAGCATGACTTAGGAGTCAGCACAGAAGTATTATAAACTAGAATTTTCTGTATTCTCTGTAATATAAGTACACTAATCTGCACTATTTATTTATTTAATCACTGTGTGTGTCTTCGTGAATGTCCTTATACAAAGAAGTGTGACTTGGCAGGACACATTTTCACAAGCCAAATCTTGAGTTCTTTATTAAGATTTTAATTTATTTTTACTAAAGTGATCTTCTGATGAGAAATAGAAATAATAGAAAATTGATTGAGGATTCAGAAAACTGTAAAAAAAATCCACCCAAACCAGAAAAAAAACAACTAAATCTCAGATTTTAGCTGCAGAAACATGGAACAATTTTTTTTATTTTTTTTTTGTGTGTTAACCATGTGCGATGTTAGCAGTTTCTAGATTCATAGAAGTGCAAGAAAATGAAGATAAATTTGACTTAAAGCTCTGTTAGTTTGCTGTTCACTGCATTCTTATGGTTTAATAGGGGATGAAATTCTGCAGGTAGCAAAAAAAACCCAGCATAAAATTTGGAAGATGGAGAAGAATGTGTATTAATCCCCAGTGAACTTCCTGATTCCTGGGCAAAGAAGAATCAGTGAGTGAATATTTAGCATGTTTTGAAGTGTTCCTGACTCTTACACGTTATTAAGATTTAGCAACTAAAATAGTGTAAATACATTGTCTTCTCTCACCTCATTCTGTGATGGGAGCATACATAAAAGTTGCAACTGCAATATCCAGTCTTTAAACAGAGCCTAAAAATAGTTTAAATTAGCTCTAGTTATAGTATTTAAGAAAACACTGTGGCTGGTGCATTGCTGGAGAGGAGTCTAGCTGCTGACCCAGCTAGGACACTCCTTCCTGTGGTGCTTCTCTTACGGTGATCACCAGAGTGAGGCCAGTGGAAAAAAGGTGCAGTGTCAAGCTCTAGTATGACCTGAGTGAGGTCACAACGCCAGAGCAGTTTCTAGAGGACATGCTGCAGTTGCTGTACCAATTAGAATGACCATCGTTGTGTTCTGACATTGAGGAATCACAGGATTGAAGAGCAAGTAGATGGTGAAGTCTTGTCAGAAATGTCTAGTCTGTTCCATACCAATGAGAATTTTAGTGTTAAAGATGCTTTTTGATAAAATAGTCAACATTATCTTTTAGCCTTAGAGGTTTGTGACTTTGCGGTTTTTGTAGTCTGTCATTACGTGTTTGATAATGCTACAGGATAGTTTTTTATGTCATTTGAATTAATTCCTAAATATTCAGTGCATAGATTCTATGGTATTTAGTGAAATAGATTATTTTAGGTATAATCTGGAATAACTTTTTAAAAACATAGATGTTATATGTTTAAACGGAGTTATTGTACATTACTTACTGCTTGTAATAAATCACTGTTTTGCTATATGCTTTATCTTGTGGTGGAGTATATCAGTTGCCATAGCCAATCACCAGCATGAACTTTCAAAATGTCTTTGTTTATAAATGGCAAGAAAATTCTTGTGCAAAGAGTCATGATTTTGTTGGCAAAACTCAGTGAGCACTTGCTGATTTTTTTGGCATTGCCTATAGAATTACTGAAGTGTATTTATAATGTGGGAGCCAAAATTACTTTTAGGATGACAGGCTTCTGATACATAATGGGGAAAAAACAATTCCATGCCATTGTTCTGTTAAATAACAATTATATTACTTAGAGGATTTTTCATAAAGCAGTATGCTTTTTAGTATTTTTTCTGACAGTACATATTAATGAGGAACACTTTATAACACTTGTTTAAAATGTCAGTCGATATATCATGAAGATTTTGGGCTACATGCATTCAGTATCACCAACTGTAAATAAAGTCTGTAGTCTTTAAAGTTTGATTAAAACTGTAGTTGCATGACAGTGGAGTCTTGGGCGCAGCACATATTTATTGGTGAGACACAGCTGATGCTTCATTTGCTGCTAATAATATCAAATTGATCATAGAGTCTTTTTAGAGCAAGGCAGTAGACCAAGCAAAAGACAGATATTCTTTCTTTTAATAAATCTAATTAAAAGCTGATTCTGAATTAGTGACCAGTGTGGGAGGATTAGTGTGAAATATAGTGACATCTACCTTTACTTAACTATTGGCTTTGGGATTCTCTAAGACTGTGCACTTAGTAATAGTAGTAATATATTTTTCTGCTCTGATAGAGCCCTGACTACAAGAAGTTTAGTTTCCGTGGATGTAAAACTGTGGGAAGAAAGTGTTAAGGAGATTCTGCAGTTAGCAGAGACTTGGTAGCTGGGAATAAATTAGGAAAACAGTACCTAAGTGTGTTTCAGGACCCTGAGAACTGTAACTTGCTTTTTTCCATCTTTCCTTGTGGCCTACCATGACTTCCTCTTCTTCATTTAGTTCTTTTCTCTGATTCCTGTATGACATGAGTTCACCCTGCTGCTTTGCCTTCAGCAGTGTGGTCTTTACTCAGTATCATATGCCACAGTCTTCCTGGGATTCTGTTTCTTTTTCTGTATCTTTACCCTCCCAGGCTCTTGCACCTTTATAGCTTTTACTTGCACTGACTCTTCTGCCTCTCACCATCAAAACAACCACAGAAACACAAGTCCAATGTACATGTTGTAAATATTTGTGTAAACATTTAAAATAATTTCAATCATTGCTTTATATAAACATGAAAAAAGTCTCTTGTAAGCTGATCTTTCTGGCTACATCTTCAAGTAAAAGAGGAGGAATAAAACTTAAAACAAATGAAACATTTCATTTTCCATGCTGAGATATGCATACAAATCAAATGTGATGTCATAGATCGAAAGCTGCACCAGACTGAAAGATCATTCAAACAGCTGACTGAAGGCAGTCCCACTACTGAACTAAAAATGCAAAATAAGAAGTTGAATACATAAGGTGGTTTTTATAAAGATATAATTGCTAAAAAATAAGCTAAGAAGGTAAAAAAATTAGAACCACTCCAGTATAGCAGTGCTACGGGGCTGGGTTCATCATTCACTAAGTGATTCTCATATTCAGTAAAGTCAATTAAAAATATGACTATTTAGGACACTTAGAGATGATAGTTTTATTTTTAATGGTTTCATTTTGTAAGTTTTTTTTCATTGTTCATTCAAAACACAAAATTAAACCTCACTAGCAAAACAGAGACATATCATTTTACTGAAATAATGGAATGTAAATAAATATTGTACTCTGTCTCTTAGTTCAGCATTTTTTTGCAATGCCTAAATGGGTTTGCATAATGCTTTTAAAAAGACTATGTTTGTACAAATATCAGACTGTTTCCAGTCCTTGTTTGGAATTGTGTTTAATCAGATTTAAAACGGTAAATGTTCTCTGTAAGGTTATATAATTTCACTCAAGCATGTAAAGTAAACCATCTGTGCATAAGATACGCAATTTAAAATACTCAGATTTTAAAAACACACCTGGAAATTATGCTGCATATTATACAAAAAGCCAACAAAATTTTAATAATTAAACTTCAATGAAACCCATGTAAAAAACTCCAGTTCTGTGCTATACGCTGTGATCCTTATATTCATCAGTAAGCACTGATAGGTTTGTGCACAGTTAGCAATGCAAGGGAACTTATTACAGCCAGCTATTAGTGCTAATGCTGCATGCTGCTAGTGGGTTTTTATTATCCTTTAAAGGGAGAAATTGGACTATACTGGTACACTAAGAATTGTGCTTTCAAGCAAGATAATGGATGCTTTTCCCTCTGCCATAAATACCACATGATATCTGATAAGAGTTATTTTTACATGGATTTTTTCATGTTCTTCAGATTTTACTTAAATTTTTTTTTTAACAAAATTATTAAAACCAGAATGATTTGATTAAATAGCATAGATTGCTATGCTTATCCTTTGGATACCTGAAGAATCATCATCTTGTTTTGCATTCAGAGACTTTTCACACACAGACTTCAGTTCATCAGTATTAAAATTTCTTGCTCCAATGTAGTCGGTACTTAAATCAACTACTGTTTGTTATAGAAAGATATCATGGCTAATTTTTATGTTAGGTGTTGAGAAGGTATGTACTATAATCTTGGTAAACCAAATGATTTGTTTGCTAGCAATGGTGTTAAACTTCAGACACAGATCTGTGTTAGCAACTTTCATCTCTGAAAGCTGCATCTCTCAAGAATTTTGAAGTTCCTAAAGAAGTTATATAAAAATAGAAGACATCGTTTCTTCTATGTAGCATCACTCACTGAAGTATGTAGCTTGGGAACTGCTGTAAAAGCCTTAAAAACTTAAGCACTTGGGAAATGAGTGTAAAACACTACAAATGACAAAATACTGCACTTTGTAGGTGGAGATTGTTAATAGTTTTCTCCCTCAATACCTATCACCACCGCATTTACATTCTGATAAAATATAAACAATAAATTCATTCCTGTTTAAAAAAAATCATGTAATACATTCTCTAGCAGCTGTGTAGAGGATAGTAAAGAATTATATATATGTACATATGTATATATATGTATATATATATGTATGTATATGAATTTGTATAATCTTGAGTATTAGAAGAATAAAATAAGAGAATGAGTAAATAAAATCCATGACAAATTTAGGGATACAGTTAATAATTCAACTAAGCACTGTTCCTTCCTGTGTACTACATGTAGCAGGGCTCCCGTAGAGTCC